AGATTCATTTATATTTTTTTTAGATTCCACATATAAGTGATACTGTATAGTATTTGTCTTTCTCTGTCTGACTTACTTCACTAAGTAAAATATTTTCTAGGTCCATCCATGTTGCTTTAAATGGCATTACTTTACTATTTTTTATAACTGAGTAGTATTCCGTTGTATAAATATACCACAACTTTTTTTAAAAATTGAAGTACAGTCAGTTACAATGTGTCAAGTTCTGGTGCAAATCAAACCATAAGCGAAACAAAACAACAACCTCTGTAATGGAAGAAATATTTGCAAATTATGTGACTGACAAAGGTTTAATTTCTAGAATATATAAACAGCTCATACAACTTAACAGAAGAACAAACAACCCAATCCAGAAATGGGCAGAAGACCTAAACAAGCTATTCTCCAATGAAGACATTTTACAACTTCTTTATCCAATCATCTGTTGATGGACATTTTTAGGTTTCTTCCATGTCTTGGCTATTGTCAGTAATGCTGCTATGAACATTGGGGTGCATGTATCTTTTTGAATTAGAGTTTCCTCTGGTTATGTGCCCAGGAGTGGGATTGCTGGATCATATGGTAAGTCTGTTTTCAGTTTTCTAAGGAACCTCCATACTGTTTTCCATAGTGGTTGCACCAACTTATATTCCCACCAACAGTGTAGGAGGGTTTCCTTTTCTCTACAGCCTCTCCAGCATTTATTGTTTGTAGACATTGTGATGATACCCATTTCTGACCAGTGTGTGATGATATCTTATTGTGGTTTTGATTTGCATTTCTCTAATAATTAGCAATGTTGAGCATTTCTTCATTTGCTTGTTGGCCATCTGTATGTCTTAAAATGTTTGTTTAGGTCCTCTGCCCATTTTTTGATTGGGTTGTTTGTTTTTGTCTCTGTTGAGTTGTATGGGCTGTTTGTGTGTTTTGGATATTAACCCCTTGTTGGTGGCATTGTTTGCAAATATTTTCTCTCATTCTGTAGGTTGTCTTTTTGTTTTATGGAAGGTTTCCTTTGCTGTGCAAAACCTGTTAAGTTTGATTAGGTCCCATAATAGTCTTTTCATTTCTTCATTTCAGGTGTATCCATGATGTAGTACAAAACTTGTATTTTACCACATTTACTACTTACATCAGATTTGCATTTTAAAATCAAATTTAACTCTGTATTTTATTTGTTTTTGACACAGACGGTCTCTAACCTACAGTTCCTACTGTCCCATCTCTCTCTGTGTTTATGCCCTCTCCTCTCCTGGTAGTCTGTATTTTAACCTTATGAATAAATTCTCTCAGCCAATCCTGGTTCCTTCCACTAGAAAGTGGTGTAGGGTGGTGGTGGGGTATACAGGCTTCTGCTGCTTCCTGCCTGTGCCCTGATTATCTGTGTAACCCTCATGTGACCCTGAAGTGGGAGTGGTAAGTACAGCGCCCTCCTGGTGGAGCTGTGAGAATTACATGAGGTAATACATGTACATATAGCTCAAAAATGCTCAGCACATACTAAGTGTTATTGTTATTGTTATCCTGACTCTCAGCTGCTGCCTAAAACTTCTTATAACATCCCCAGGCACACTTTTGGTGCTGAAGCAAGCTGAAGTCGTCTTTGGCTGGTGGCAGCCCCCTTAGCGCTCCC